GGTCTTGCTGCTTTGTTTGCTGTGATGTGGGCGTTTACACGTGGCGCGCTTCACGTGGATGATTATAATATCTATAGCGCGCTCAACGCGTGGGCCTGGTCACATTAGATATAATGAAGAGAGACGTGAAAGACTGGACATCGCGTTGGTTTCATATGGATTACTTTATCACAGAATATTTGCTTTCGATAAGACTTGCTTAGTTTAAAAGTAGACATGTCAAGCTTTCTATAGATATATCTCTCATGTCTCTTTGTTGAGTATTTGCTGAGTTACAGTTCATTTTAATGACGCGTTTCTAAATAAAGATCACGCAGACCAAGGCGGCAGACAGCGCACCATGTTTGTTTTCTTTATTTTATAAATGCACAAAGTTTTGTTGTTATTATGTGTGTATACAAATAAAAGTAGACCATTTACAGATTTGATTGATGTATTGCTCTAATCTGTAAGATCAAAACTGAAAGTGAAATTTAAGTTCTTTTCGGTGTTATCAGGAGTTAATCCACAGAAACGTGTGGTCATGCAGACAGAAGTTGAGTAGGGGAGAGCGTGGCACAAAGTAAGACTTTTTGGTTTTGGCCAAATAATGAACAAAGTAATGGGGTTACACAAACCATATTTTTATACAAACAACATACAAGCCTCTCCTACAAATGAGCACTGTTTGTATGTTCGTCGGACCTACCGTTATTGTGCAGTATCGCCAAAAGTGCCAGAAGTAAAATGTTATTACTTACCCCGCGGGTGGGGCTAGTTGTAACAGACAGAGGGTTAGTTGTAACACTTGCTGGTAGAGTCAGATGTCCATTTATTAATCTATTAAAACAATACTCTTGAGTGTAGACAAATTGATTTATTTGCAACATTAGCAAACTGTTTCAATAAAAAAAAAAATGTTTATTACCATAGTAGATAAATAAATTAAAAACGTGTCACTCTTAAAAACAGACCTGTATATAGGCCTAGGTTTCAACCTAATGAACCGATAGGCTAACATTTCAAAATCATTTAACTTTTATTTTCACATTTAAACATTTGATACTGTTTGACATCTTTTCACTCTGTTTCTGTAGGTATGTATAAACTTTTCAGTGTTCAGTGTTATTAAACAAATTATAAATCTAACAAATGAACAAATTGTTAATCTCACAGTAAGTGGAAACATTTTCAACATACCACTGGTGCCCTGGTGGAGAGCGGAGGACCCCTGGGGGAGAGCGGACTGGTGAAGAACGGAGGAGCCCTGGTGGAGAGCGGAGTAGCCCTGGTGGAGAGCGGAGGAGCCCTGGTGGAGAGCGGAGGAGTCCTGGTGGAGTGTGGCAGAACCTGCAGAGGATGTAGTTGGCTCTGGTCTGTCGGTTGCATATGCAGGAGCAAAGTCATTTTCTCCAAACACATCAGGGCTGTAGGGCCAGATGCCAGTGCACCTAAATAGATAGACAGATAATTTATTCATCCTGAAGTACATTAAGGATTTTTTTTCTAATGGATAGGTACCTGAAACCTGACATGATGTTCTCAGGCGTTGCTGAATGTTGCAACGCTTTTGCAACAATCCCAGGGAGGTCGTATATTGTGGCGTTCTGGCCAGGGTGAGCTTTCATCCAGTGGTCCAGGTGCGTGTTGACCCTCCCTTTGAAAGAGCGAAAAACTGTTCTGTCCAGGGGACAGAGCTTATGAGTGCAGTGTGGCGGAAAAGTAAGTAGAACGATGCCCCGTTCCCTACAGAAATCCATGGCTGGGACAGACAGGTGGGACACGTGATTGTCCAGTAAGAGAAGTACGTTGGAGTCCAGTGAGGGCTTCGTATGGTTGGCAAAGTGGAGGAGGAACTGCAAAAATTCCTCTGCCTGTATCCAACCAGACCCATTTGCTGCTCCAGCTGATGCAGGTGGCCCTTCATGGATGAAGTGAGAGTAAAATCGTTTGCGGGGAAAAACAAAAAATGGAGGGATCGAATTCCCCAGGGCATTAATGGCCACTGCAACGGTCACTAGCTTACCCCTTTCTCCAGAGGTCATTGCTCCAATCTGGCGTATTCCTTTTGTGGCTATTATCTTCTCTGGGGCCTGCACTGTGTTCACACCAGTTTCATCCATGTTCCATATATCATTTGGGGTAAAATTGTGCTGGTCTCTCAACCGAGGTTGTTGAGACTATCCTCCATCCAGAGCTCCCTCTATGAGAAAACTGTACTTCTTGGTGCGGAGACCGCCACCTCGACCCAGCTAACTGCCCGGTTGGTACAGTTCTGGAGTTCCTGCAGGCCTGTTTATCCGCAGGGTTGACCCACTCCACCCTAGATGTCTTCGTGGCGGCCACTGCGGCCTACCACGCCCCTCTCGGTGGCCATTCAGTGGGAAGACACCTTCTTCTTACACGTATCCTCCGCGGTGCGCTGAGGCTGAGGCCTCCGGCCAGAGAAGCTTATGCTAAGTGGTGGATCAGGATGCTATTCCATAGCCTTGAGCCCTCTGATCTCCTCTTTCCTTCGGGGGTTAAGGCTCACTCCTCCAGAATTTGGCCTTCGTGATGGCAGACCCCGCCTACTGTAACCATTCCTGGCTCCCTTTTCTCTCGCCTCAGTTGTGCTCTTCCACATTAGGCAGGGATTTGCAAGTCTGGCAGTGTGGGCATTCTCGTTCCCGTAGCGTTTTGACGCAGCTCGAGTTCCTGAAGGGGAACGTGTCCAGGTTACGCATGTAACCATTGTTCCCTGAAGGGAACGAGACGCTACGTCTCAGGGCCATACTTCTGGCAGCGCTTGCTTCAATCCTAGAAGCTGACGTCGGTTTCACCGCTTCCTGGTCGCTACGTCACCCCGCCCGTGACTTCTCGCCCATCCATTGGACTGATTACACATGTGATTCAGAGCGTGGTCACGCTGGAGGCATTCCCGGAGCGTTTTGACGCAGCGTCTCGTTCCCTTCGGGGAACCATGGTTACATGCGTAACCTGGAGACGTTTTTTTTATTCATTTGCTTAAATTAGGACTATATTATTCAATTATTTGTTACATTTTTATCTAAATAATTTAGCATTTTTTAAAACGTTTAAAAGTAAAATTTTATATGACAAATATGATGATTTATTATGTATACATTTATGATTAATATAAATGATAAATTAGTAATTAGGAAAAACTAACATTAATTAAAAAAACTAACATTAATTATAATCTATTAATTCATATGTCTAATAATGTCTACGAATATAATAATTATGTCTACCAAGCTCTGATAATGTATGGAATATTATATTAACAGACTATCCAAATTTTTATAAAACAATAGGCCGATACCTTTAGAAGCATGGATGTGTCTGTTACTTTAAAGGTATGATTCACCCAAAAATGAAAATTCTCTCACAATTTAATCAGGTTGTTCTAAACCTGCATAAAGTTCTTTCTTCTGTTGAACACAAAAGAAGATAGACTACTTTGAAGAATGTGGGTAACTAAACAGCTGCTGGTCCCCAGTAACTTCCATAGTAGGGAAAAAAATATACTATCGGAGTCATTGGGGACCAGAAACTGTTTGGTTACCCACATTCTTCAAAGTATCTTCTTTTATGTTCAACAGAAGAAAGAAATTATTACAGGTTTGGAACAAACTGTGGGTGTGTAAACGATGACATTTTTGGGTGAACTATCCCTTTAAGTCAGTCCACTGTGAGAAACTGAAATGCCTCTCTGCAAACTGCGCGTTCATCATTAGTTACTGGACAGACCCACTGATAACTTTCCCATTCAGCCCTACATCTGGAGAGCCTCTTGTGCTCAAAGGGCAGACCGGGCGGACATGAGCCACGCAGGTTTACCTGCCTTAACGGAACACATTCAGGAAGCTCTGTCACTATGGAAACAAAGACGCCAAAATGCAATCACGCGCAAATGATCTTCTCTAATACTTCTTATGAAATTTGTTTAATTATAAGTGCTATTAGTATTATCCACCCTGCAAAATCCTTGGCCTTTGTAAAATACGGGACACCCTACTGGTGTAGCTGTATTTTGTGACTTTTGATGAGGTCCACACTGATTCCTTTGCTCCAATTACACAGTTGTCATTAGCGGAAAAATCCCTCTTTATGAATGCGTTGGTTGGTTATTTTCCCCGCTCTAGCTAGTGACAGTCAATGATTTTATCAGCTGTGGTAGACTTGTGTATTCCGTACTCATAATAGTGGCTGTAGTCAACTACCAATAGTATGGATTCTCCAGTTGGAAGAGGACCTAATATGTCAGTGGCTAGATCCTGCCAGGGAGTTTCGGGTAACTGTGTCATTTTCAGTGGCTTTGGTTTTTCAGGTTTCATCACTAATTGGCATCCGTGACACCATCTGACATGCCTCTCTGCATCCTTATCCATGGCAGGCCAACACACATTACTTCTGAGGTTCTATACCCAAATGTCCTTTGTTAGCTAGATTTAAAGCTCTCGCTCTAAGTGACTGTGGTAACACAATGCGTGTTCCCCTCAAAACTAACTGTCCAATCATATTCAATTAATTGGCAATGGGGGCATACGAATTGCATTCATCAAAACAACCAGTCTGTATGGCCTGTCTGACTTTCCTTAATTCATCACCTGCTGCCGATGCTTCCTCCACAGTTCTTGTTGTAAGTGCCTTTGGAGTAGCGTTCACAGCCACAAATTTCACATATTCTTCAGCTTCATGCTTATGTGTCTGTTGTCCCTTCTTTCCACAGACAAGACGTGAAAGAGCGTCTGCTATGTTTTGCTTGCCTGGAATGTAGACAACACGAAAGTCATCTGGTTGTAGTCTAAGCACCCACCTCTCCATGCGAGCACATGGTTTTGACCGCAGGCCATAGATAGCTTCCAGCAGTTTATGATCCATGATCAAGTCAAACTTTTGTCCGTATATGTATGGATGGAGTCTCTCGCATGCCCATACTAAGGACAGAGATCCGTCTGTGAGTATCTTTGCTCACATTCAGTTAAGCTGAGACTGACATAACATATGGGGACATTCTCTCCATTCTGTTCTTGAATCAACACAGCCCCGATGCCTACTGGACTCGCATCTGCAATAACCTTCGTCAGTGCCTTGTCAAAATAAGCAAGGGTTCCCGCTTCAGCTAGCTTCTGCTTTAAGGCTTGAAATGCTCGTCTTTGCTTGGGACCAAACTTGAATGGGGTATCTTTCTTTGTCTGTCTCCTTAGTGGTTCAGTGACAGATGCAAATTGTGGGATGAACCGGCTGCTATATCCCACCAGTCCCAAGAAGCTTCATACTTGCATTGCATTCTCTGGTTCTCTAGAATTGATCACAGCACGAACCATTTCAGCTGTGGGGCCAATACCTTTTTCTGAGAGCAGCATTATATGAACCAGCTTATTCATATTATATTGACACTTTTCCCCATTGAGTGTCAAACCACAACTCACAAGCCTCTGTAAAACTGCATATAGTCTATGATCATGTGTCTCTTGGGAAGGAGCATGTATGATAATATCATCAGAGATATTCTCCACTCTTTCAGTTCTGGCGTGGGCTGAAGCAACTTCATGTTGATACTGCTCGCTGGCCAACGACACTCCGAAGATCAGTCTCTTGTATCGATACGTACCATTGTGTACAGCAAATGTGGCGATACCTCTAGACTGTGGCGTAAACTCTAGTTGGTGGTAACCCCACTTAAGGTCAACCTAACTGAAAACCAAGGAGCCATTCATGATTTGACGGAGCTCGTCTACAATTGGAATTGGGTATTGGCCCCGAATTATAGCTCTATTTGCCTGCCTCATATCCAAACATAGTCTAATATCGTTGTCAGGCTTAGGAACGATCACTTTACCCATGGGGTGGCGCCAGTGACTGGTTCAATGATGTCCAGCTCTAGAAGCTACTGGTCAGGATAATTCAGGAAAAGACTAGAGATTCAGTTGCAAGTGTTCAAAGGTTTATTTTCTGAAGACCAAACCAGTCACAGCATAAAAGACAACAGGAAATGTGAGGGTGCAGAATATTCCTCAGCAGCGCAGGGACTACAATAGGCAGAATGACCGAGAACCGGACAACAGTCACAGGAACAACGGCCTCCACAGAGAAAGCAAGAGTGCCTCACAGTAACAGGTGGCTGGTTCCACAATAGTCCGGCGGTCACTCCACAGGAAGCATCCAACAACGCACTGAGTTGAGTGCAGCAAACGGGAGACAGGAGAACACTGAACAGAGAACAAGAGTGAGCAAACAACGATCTGACAGGGAATGAACAACAAACAACTCAATATAAAGGGTGCAGCTGATCATCACCAGCTGACCCTGATCGCTAATCAGCGATCATGAGTTGCCCAGCAACACATGTGACAGCAAAACACGCACACAGACACACACAAAACAAAGGAGGAATCCACAGACCTGCGAACCGTGACACAACTGAATTTTATGTTCTACTGCTTCTCTCAAATGGAATGGAATTTGGTGTATCGGTTGAGCTACTGGAGTCACAGTATCATCAATGTGTAAGATAATCTTTTTTGTGTTGAGCTTTCCAACTCCTTTTAAACAGAACTGGGTACTGTTCCCGAATTCGGCTTGCCACATCACTGATGGTAGCTATGTTAACCCCAATTTTCAGTGTTCCTAGTTTAGTGACCGTCTCTTTGCCCAATAGTGGCTCTCCCTTTTCCCTGATTACTATGAATTCGGCCTGGGTGCTGAGTTTTCTGCATTTTATCTCACATATGAAAGATCCTTTTATAGGCAGGGGCTCTTTAAAGGCATACGCATATAACCTTTTATCAGATTTGTATGAGTGGCATGCCATTTTTTTTGCTTTTTAATGTATCCCATGCCGCTTCGTCTATGACATTGCTTGTGGCCCCAGAATCAATCAACATGTCCAGGTCAACTCCACCAACAGCAAATCTGTTTGGGTCTTTCACCATGAATGCGTATTGATCATCATCAGTTCTACCAATCTCTCCACCAATATATTTAGCTGTCTGTTTAGTCACATTTTTGGTTTTACACATTTTGGCAAAGTGGTTAGTACTTTTGCACTTTCTGCATTCTTGGCCCCTTGCTGGACAAGTTGCGTCTCTGCAAAATGATCCAGTCGCCTGCAACTGTAACACTGTCTCTCTTTTTTTTCT